AGAGTGGAGTGCCCCAAGCAGGGGCAGCACTGGGACTATAACCACCCCAACGTTCCCCATAGCCCCTAGGTAGCTACCCCTCCCAGCAATGCTCCTTAGCCTGTCCCACTCCCACCAGCTCTGAGTCCAGCCCCGGCCCACCTCCCCTGCTGGGAAGAGGCAGGTGCTGCTTCTGGCCCCAAGCTCTCAGTAGGCAGCCCTCCCTTGCCCCACGCACAAATCTGGGGCAGTGCATGCCCCCCCATGCCTCCCCTAGGGGTACGTGCAGTGGTGGGGAGCTGCCCCACCCCTTCCTCCCGCGCCTCCTAGATGAGCTGCTCCCAGCCCCGGGGTCACATTCACTGCCCTGGCTGGGCAGCGCCTGCCCCTGCCCCACTCCTTCCCTCACCATGGGAGGCCTCAATCTGCGCCCCCACACCCCTTCCCCCCACAGATTTACCAGCAGGACGCTGCTCTCCAAGCTGCCCAGGCTGCATTCCTGTAAATTGGGTATTGGATTAGTATTGGCCAATGTGGCTAGTTAATCTGCTGTCAGTATCAGCCAAGAAAATATTTATCAGTCTACCCGTACGTCTTCCTAATATCCAACTTAAACCTCCCTTGTTGCAACTTGAGACCATTGCTCCTTGTTCTGTCATCTGTAAGTGGTGTCTAGACCAGAGCACTCTAATTTGGAATGAAACAACTTAAGCTTCCATTAGTGTTGGGACAAAACAGTGGGAGAGCTTGAAATATATTAATCCTTTCTCCAGTATGTAGAACTGCTTCATATGTCCATACCCTCATTCAAAAAAGGGGTCTTAAAACCCTTTACAGTGTCTATAAAGATGTGATGTCTTACAGCTTAAATTTGCTGTTTTGCACAGCAGTTCTTCAGTGGTTAGGGCTGTGGAAATGAAGTCTGATGCTGTTGAAGTTGCAGGCAATGGCAAGTGCTTAGTAGGGAAACAATCTTGTATAGAAAACACTACTAAAGACTTGACAAATACAAGAAATGTACTTGGCCAAAGATAGTATACTGTGGAAAGCCTTCCAAGTTGTATATGGTATGTTTTGCTTCATATCTTTTCCCCTCAAAGCATTTAATTAATTCTTGGGTTATTTATCTCCTTTAGTTGCAACGCTTTGTAATAGTTTGTGTAGAAGCCCTCTGCAAACTAAGTTGTATTGTGTTTGTGCTGTAAAAAAAGACTTTATAAAAACAAAGACTAGATATTTTATTTCCTCAGTTTTTTTCTTAAAATCTTGTTTTTTTTCCCTCCCATGAGCCAGGAAAACCTCAGGCACATGTACATACTTTTGCTTTCTCCAGCTGCTAAGCAAACATGTCATGGCAGATAATTGATAATGCTGCCTCACTACTAAGATAACACAACTTTTTCATTAAATGCAGTATAATAAAATACATAGGTTATTTCACATGGAAATAATACAATACAAAATGGCGTTTGTTCGGTCATCCTTTTGTTTGCACCCACGATGGCTAATTCACAAAGTTAAGTAATTGGCAATGGAATTTTAGTGTGAATTAGCTGATCATTTTAGTGTCTGTATTTCACCCATTATAACAAGCTAGTATTTCACAAGATAATGTATTCTTTCTGCTGCTCTCTCTTCCTTGATGGCTTCATGGAATATTTATTTTGAAGGCCAAGGTTTTCACTGCAACATACTTATTATCAGCTGTGTATCCATGAGAAATGTATTCCTTACTACAGATGTGTTAAAAAAACTAAAGGTACTCCAGGGACTGAAGTCAGAATTCCTGCATTCCCTTCCTGGCTCTGCAGTGGCTGTGGGTTGAACGGGTCCCTGAATGGACCTCCAGAGCCAAGGACTTCTAAATAGAAAACAGTAATTTAAATACTTTGTTTGCAACATTTGCCTCCTCTCAGTAGTGCCCACTCTTCTCCTTTACGCCATTTCTCTATCTTATATGTTTAAATTACTGCTTTCTGTTTAAAACCCTTGCTCCTTGCAGGTCCATCCATAGCATCTGACAAAGTGAGCTGTTGCTTACTAAAGCTCATGCTTCTCTGTATAGTTAGTCTGTAAGGCGCCAGTCTGCCCTGACTTCTGCCACAGAGAATTGTCATCATTATCCTGATGGTTTAAATGGCACTGCAGAAGTGTTTGCTGTGACTTTTACATGCATGCTTCAGAAGTATGCGTTATAAGGCCTTCACTTACGAAGAACTTGGGCAGCACATACATTTTTTTTCTTCACCTTTTGAGGCCATTATGAAACTTGGTTGGGGTTTTACTTTTGCTGTTAGAACAGTGCTATGTTATGTAATGTAATTATGTAATTTATACATGGTCATTGGTTTAAGAGGTGATTTCATTTGACATGATAGTGGCCATGATTTAATTCAAAGCACTTTTAATTGAACACTCATTACCTGATTTGAAAACTAAATTGGAAAAGGAGCAAAACAACTAGTACATTTTATGCCATACGCTGCAGAACTCAGCTGTCAGGGTCTGTAAATGCTGACCTAAGCATTCACCATTTCAGGTGAAAGATGAGCTGTGTATTAAAAACAAAAAAACCTAGGAAAAAAAAGCGCCTTAATCTTCAACATAACAAAAGCTAGAAAAATATCTGGGGAAACTGGCAAAATGATGAAAAAGGGAATTAAACTCAATGGCCTTAGTGCAAACAGTATTTCCAGATTGTAGGAAAATACTCAGATTAGTAATAAAGATAGCCTGTATGAATAGTGACTTCTTGTCTGAGGATCTTGTATCTTGTTTAAAAAATGCTTGGGTTTTTTTAAGTGGAAGAAGTAGAGAGACGAAGAAATAAATGTCACAAAGCCAGTTGCAGAGTCAAGAATAGAATTCTGAATCCTGTTTCTCACTCCTTTGCTCTAATCATCCAGCTTGGCTTACCATATCTGTACTCTTTTTAAAAAATGCTTTTGAATATAAAAAGGAATTAGAAGATGTTGTATGCTGATTGAAGAAACAATGATAGATTATGCCCCTGTTTGTTCCCCTTTTACACAGTATTTGAGGTGTTGAAATGTGTTTTTTCTCAGTGCAGTTTGAAGATGATGTATGCAATATCAATTTTTGCTCTTTAGTTTCTTTCCCTTTTCACATTTTATATTGTTTTTCTGTAGTACTGTGAGTTTTCTCTATCCTTTATTTAACCCAGCCTGTTTTGTTCTTTGTCATTGTGCGGAGTGCTAGGACGCCTGCTGAATGAGTTTTTAGGCAAAGGAGGAGATACTATAGCAGGGAAATAAGTTGCTAATATGTCTATAACTAAACATAAAAAGAATTTATAAAAATGTTACTGTGCATTGGATGGAAACATTGTCAAATTTTGTGTGCTCATACAGGAACTTGACAAGAGGAGTCGGTAGATTTAGAGAGATATTAAGAGCTATTGAAACGAGAACTACACAAAATCTGAGAATGGTAAGTATACTAACTACATTTTATGGTAAACACTGCATAAAAGGATTGTTGTAGAGGCAAACAAGTGAAATGACAGCCTTATTGTGTATTGATAAATAAAAGCTATTAACCAAGATCTGCAACTTTGCATGAAAAATCGGGTCACACAAGGTTACAGATTAATTATTTTAACATGAATTGTTTTTAACTAATAAAAACAAAGGGGAATGTTTGATCAACAGTGTTCTTCTGTTCAGTGGATGCCCCCTACTTTGCAATTTTACACAGCCACTTACACAGGGAGAAAAGAGGTGGTTAGCTCTATTAGTCTGAAATGAACATGGCACCAGGTACAGCCATATATATATATACAAGCCTGTCCCTCAGCTGCAGCAACCCTGCTGCAGCTCCATACACTACAGAGCACAAGGCTGCCTGACTTCTTTGGCTGGGTGTGTGGAGTGTGCCTACTGCAGAAAAAGGCCCCCAGGCTGGGAGGGAGGGTGACTTTGGCATCTCCTCTGAAAGCAGGTGCCAAGAGCGAGTGCTCAGCTTGCCTTGTCCAAGTCATACCACTACACTATAAAACCCTGCTTTTGCTAAAGTTGAGCTCACTTAGCGTCCTGCTACATATTTAGATTAAAGCTGGATAAGTTGTTACACATTTTCAAGCACTAACTTTGTAGCTGGTTGGCTTTTCTTATAGCTGGATAGTCTTTTTTTTATCATGTGATAACTTTTTTGCACGTGTGACTGGTCTAAATTTATTGTACGATGAATCATTTAATTGCATAATATATGTAACATCTAGCCAGGAGCCTTGGCGTTTTAGATTCAGGTAGACAAATCAAGGTAAAATATCAGGTGATGGTGGTGATCTGTTGCTCTTGCTGCTACATGTGTTATGGTAGCCCTCAGAGGTTGGGATTCTGTTACACTTAGCACTTAGTCAGCATATAGGGAGACTATTCCTGTACACATCATTTACAATATTAGAACTTAGACCTTTACCTTTGAATAATGAAGCTGAGTTTAATGGAATTACTTGCATACTTAAACTTCTACATAAAATATCAGATGGAAGAATGGTTATAAGCACATGTAGATAAAAGTATGAGAGCATATAGATTAGCTACACACACAGCTTGACAGAAGTATTGATATTATGCAAAACTAAGTTTTAGATTTTGTGGCAAACTATGCCAGTTAAACCAAAACAGGTCATTCTTCATGGAAAATGAAGTTTTTACTCTGTCTAAGTTGATTCCTTCACTTTACCACAACAAACTATGAGTGTATTGACACAGACATAGAATAACAGCAAACTCCTCTGTTTGCCTCATTTTTGCATGCCAACTTAGAAAACAAAAGAAATCTCAGGTACTATTTAAGAAGTTCTTTGAAAGAGTTACAGGGGCTTTTTTTTTGTTTTAGGTTTGTACTGAATTAAACTGTACCCTTACCTTTTATCCCTGATAAGGAGAACATTCTGAGTGCTTGAAGCAAATGAAAAAAATGTGGTGACTATATACAGTTGGCACTTTGTTCGAAAAAGGAAAACTAGAGGAAGATGAGATTTCCACTAAGATTGGAAACCTTGTGTTCAAGTTATATTAAACTTCAATATTTTTTCCTTGGTAGTTTCCCAATATTTGCACAATTTCTGTTCTACATTATTCTCTCCTAGTAATATTCCTGTCTCTCTAACTTTACAGACGATAGCCAGACAGTTAGCTGAAATTCTGTTACGTGGCATGTGTGAACAGAGTTATTGGAATCCTCTGCAAGACCCTCCTCATCAATCTCCTCTTGATGATCCACTCCGGAAAGGCTCAAACACTAAAAATTATGCACTCAGCAGAAGACCACGGGTGTACACTGGAGAAACGTATGGGTTTACTTCTTACCATCACTATTATTTTTAAATGTGTGGTGTCTGTTGTTCAGTCCATTTTGGAAGCTTATGTTATGGAAAAGAAAAGAAGTGTTTGGAGAACCAGCAAAGGCAAATCCTGTACCTTTCTCTGGTTGGATTGGAGGATTAGGATGTAAGGGAGCCTCTTTCCTCAAGGGATGTAAGGGAGCAAGCAGAGGACCATAACTATTTTTTCCTATTATTGCTGAATGCATTAGGGGATAGGAACCCAGGTGCCTTCTTAATGAACACATCACTGTGCAACTAGAGCATGAGCTCGGGAATTATGGGCAATCAGGGCATACTGATGTGCCTACTATTTCACCCCTGTGAGCTATCATGTACTGCACTGTTCCACTGCTTTTGCCATCCATGCTTTAAGCAGCTCCCTTTGTGGAGGTAAAATTTGCATGAATGTTTGGAAACTATAAAATGACAGTTTGTTCCTTTTTCCTTAAAAGAGGATGTAGAAGTGTATTTTGTTTTATGAATTGGATAATAAGCAAATCCAGTTAGGTTTTATTGCTATAGTTGTGATGTTTCTAGAGCTTTGTATTCTGCAGTACCATAGAATTCAGTAATAGAGTTAGCAAGTTGAAGATTCATTATATTTCAATGACAAACTTGCAGATTGTTTCTTGACATTTTAAAGGGTGTGTATATTTCAGTGCAGCTGTCTTTTTAATCCTCTTAAGCCATTTTGGGATTTCTCAACCATATCTGTTTGTTGTTGAATTTACTTTTCTTCCATTTAGTCAGATAAGCAGTACCCTATTATGTTGCTCTCTGCTGATTTTTAGTTCAGCCTTGATTTACACGCACAAATGAACACATCCCTTTGCTGATCAAAGGATGTGGTTTTCATTTCCTCGTGCCTTAGTTCCTCTGCACTGGTCATTGCTAGTAATACAATGAATGTAAGCAACCATTTTCTAAAAATTGATCAAAGTTTTTTTTGTTTTTGTTTTAGCTTTTACTTCTGCTGTCTCCAAGTACAGATCTGGTTTTAGACTAGGCCTATTTTTCTGGAAATGGCTGTCACAGTTATACTGACAGTCACCTCAAATAATTGTTTACAATTCAACTAGTATACTACTCAGTTTTATCACTGATTAATGCAGTCAACCCAGATATATGCTGATGAAAACTTTGCACCAGCCTGCGAAAAGACCAAAATGTTGTTAGTAAGTTCTTGTTGGTGAAGCCTTGAATAAGTTTTACACAGGGCATCCAAAGCCTAGTTCTGATAAGTCCTTTATACCACTTTGTATGGCACATGAGTCACTTAGTCCACTTCTTCTTGCTCCCCAACAAGCCTTGCTTTCTTTAAACTCGTGAAGTGAAGAAATAAGAAAAGAAATGAATAATAATGGAAATCATGATGAGGACGTAGCACAGGGTAGACAAAATATAGCCCACAGGTCGGATCTGGCCCACTAACAGGTTGGATCTGGCCCACAAGTGGACACCCACTTGCATGCTGTCTTGCGCTTTCTGGGCTAGGGCTGCTGCCAGTGTAGAAGCAGAAGCATGACCCCACCTGCAGCTGTGGCACCTGCCTCCTCTGGAGCTGGAAGCTGCCTGCTGTGCTTGGGCAGCTGTGGACATGGGCAGCTGTGGACATGGCCAGCAGCTGCTGAGTCCAGACTCTTGCCAAGGGGGAAGGGGGTGCTAAAACTGTGTGCATGTGGACTCTGGCTGTGAGGGAGAGGGGGTGGGCTAAAGCTGCAGGTGTGTTCAGAGAAGTATGACCCTCAAAAGGTCACCAAAACTCATTAAGTGGCCTGCCAACCCAAATAATTGCACCCCTCATTTGTCATAGCACCACTTGGAAAATACCAGTGAGTGCTTCACCCATCACCTTTAATACTGAGGGAAGAAAAGTAACTTCTGTAAAATGGTTGTGTTCTTGGTCTTGTCCCTATGCAAAAGTAAGTCTTCTATGCTTACCTCTTCTGTCTTTGGAGAGACTCCCTTCTGTATTACAAAATTACATGGTAAGGTTTGTCTAAAAGACGTTGTTTTGAGACGCTCACTCAGGTGATCCTGAGTGAAAGTGTAGAAGCCTGGAATTCAAGTGCGACTGATCGCCTCCATAGTCTTAAACAATTGACCAAAGGTCTGGTCAGATGACTTTTTTGGAAAACTTGAATGCTTAATTCGTGAACACATTTTAATTCAGTTCCCCATGCAAACTGAACAGTTGGTTTCCTTTCAGGCATAATTAAACAACTGTGTTTACTTGGTTTATTAAACACAAATATCCAGTTTATGAATGCACCATGGTAACTGTACCTGCAGCTTAGATATTAATTGCTTACATTTTGCATGGTCAGTTATACATGTAACATTTTGAAATTAGGTCTTAATGTCTCTATCTCAATTTCCCCACAGTAAAGATAGAAATAAAATGCACCTTGTGGCTAACTTCCAAGATTGATTTTAATTATATAAACTATTGAGATGTTCTTTAGATGAACAATTCTATGTAATTGCAAAATACTTAAATTCATCCTTTTAATTTTGGATGCATGTGCTCCAAAACAAACTTTGCTATTCATCTTTTCCCAACATTTATACCCAGTCCATTAACCAATTTGCTCTCCTTCATTTCAGCAGCCACAGTAGAATGACTGCAGGTAAATTCAATCTGGCTGCTGACAGACATGACCCTCCCCTCCCCCCCTCAAGAAAATTCACTTTATCAGAAGAAGCAGCTCGTTAGTTTCACTCAATTCTGCAGTGCTGTATAGATCGGGCACTTTAGCAAGCCTTTTTTTTGCAGCTTTTATTCAATCAGCTATTGAATAAAAGCACCCCAAACGCCCCACTAAAGTACCCTGTCTATACAGACGTTGGGCGATCGGGGTCCAGCTAAGGTGATGCCTCTTCTGGGCATGTGCTGGGCTTGGCACGGTGGCTCACAGAGCTTTAAGTGCCAGGTTTGGTTTTTTTTTGCTCAGATCTGTAAGCAGCTTCCTTGGCTACCAGTATTCAGCGTTTTTATACTTGCTGTTTTGAGAACCCTTTTGAAGAGTTTTATGTTCTACTTTAATGCTGTTATGTTTGTGTTTGAACAGTATTTTTTGTCCGCAAGAAAATACAGAAGAAGCCCTGTTGTTGCTACTGATTAGTGAATCTATGGTAAGTTAAACAGCTAGTTTTTAAAAGCTCCTTTTGATGGATATCATGTCACTTGGACTTGTCAAATCATGGTTGTGCCTTGTCTCCTATTAGGAAAGCAGGCAAGCAGTTCCTTCATGTGCTGGATTTTGTGCCTATGGCAGTCGTCACAGGGCCCCATCCTTCTGTGCAGCCCCCACCCAGCCTCATCAGGGCAAAGGGAGCTTGATCTGGCCCTGTAGGGGGGGGTGGGGAAGGGTATGGCTGGACCTGATCCAGCTGCAGGGGTTGGGGAGAGGGAGGTGTGGATTGGTTCTGATCCATCTGTAGCGGGGAGGGGACATGGCCTGGGCCCAACCTGACTGTATGGGAGGGAAGGGGGCACAGCCCAGCTCTAGCCTGCCACACAGGCTTGGAGTTTGGAAATTTGGAAGCAGGGGAGGCTGGCCTTATTAATTACTACCGCTCCTCTGCTACCAAATTTCTCAACCTGTGAGGAACCCCACGAGCCGGATACGATGGCTCTGCAACCACATTGAGTCCACAGGCTGGAGGTCAAGCATCCCTACCCTAAAGGTTTCTCTGCCTCTCTAACATAAAAAATAAAAATCTTATAGCATGTTACTTCAGATCTTTCACTTGTTTCAAATTATCACACCCCATTAATGTGGATCTTCAGTCTAAACATTGGGAATTTAACTCGGGGAAACTTGTGTGGTGTCTTTGTCTTCTTTCCACAACAGTGAGTTGATAATTATAATGAGGTAGATTTGGAGAAGGTGGTTTGAAGTTATCCTTATCTAGACAGTAGAGCATAAGTGGTCTTGAGCATCTGGAGACTTACGTTTTATACTTGGCTCTAAACAGCATTTCTATATAGGAACCTGGGTAGCTTATTTATTTAATCTGCCTGTACCTCACCCTCTGTTTGTAAAAAGAGGTGTTTATTTTTATGACAATGAATGAATTGCACTTTGAAATCCTTTAGAATCCAAAACATTGTGCAAACAGTCCTTTGTCACATTTATGCTGGTGGAGAGAATTATCAGTCCTCCTATTGATAATTCCTTGTACTGAATTAGAGAGGGTTATCCTCAGAGGAAAGTCCTTTCTCATCTCGGGGGGAGAGAGAGAGAGCTGTTGTGATTTTCAGAAGAGGGAATTAATAAGAGAAAAAAGTCCTCCCTCTAAAAGGAAGGGTGTAAAGAAGACCCAAGGAGCTCCGAAGTTGTGCCATATGCTGATGCAAGACAGTGAAATTAAAGCCATACAGTATCAGTCCAGTGCTGAGGTAACTTAACTAAATTAATTACCTACATTTTGCACAATTAAAACCTAATAAAAATATTAATTAAGAGGACATAAGCTTCAGACTCAGTTTATGTATTAAATGAGGATCAGAAATAGGCTGATCCTACCTAAAAATGATCACATGTGAAACGAGCAGTGATTGCTATTTGTCATGGTCACAGACTTCCAAGGATGATTGCTAGATTTATAAGTAGTCATGACTACCTAAAAAAAAAAAAAAAAAAAAAAAAATGTTTTTAGCATTACAATTGGCCTTGGATTTCCTTGGTTTTGTCTTTCAGGCTAACCGTGATGCAGTACTGAGTAGAATACCTGAGCACAAAAATGATCGCATCATCAGTTTGCAAAGTGCATCTGTGGTCTATGATTTACTTACTATTGCCTTGGGAAGAAGAGGTCAATATGAAATGCTATCAGAGGTATGCTTGTGACTTAGCAATTAATTCTGGGGGTGATTGCTGGTGGTTACTATTAATAATGCAGGTTTATTTTCGTAGTGCTTTAAAAGTCGACCAAGAATAGGTGTTCATTGTGATGGCCACTGTACAAACAGGGTGCATCTACACATGCATTTGATCCAAGATCAGTTTCCTTCCAAGTAAACGCTCCCGGGCAGGCATCTACAGGTGCAAAAACTAGGCAGCAGATTTGCTGCTCTTAGCACCAAACTTTCTGAAGCCCTACAGTGGAATGCTGCTGCTGCCACCAGGGGGAGCTCCAGGCTTTGGCTACCGTGGCTGGCAGCTGGCATCCCTCTTGAAAAGGCAGCCCTGCTCTCTGGCCAGCCACTTCCCCGGCCAGGAGCAGCATGCACAGCACAGGGGCAGTATGCAGCAGCACCTGTCTTGCCAACTGTGCCTCCGTGTACCATGGCTGCTTTAGTCCCTGCTCCTGGCAGTGAAGACCATTACCCTGAGCTCCTGCTGGCCAACATGCTGTCCCACTGTGCTGGCTGCTGCCTGGCCCCTCCCAGCTCCCCCATGTGCAGTGACTGCCTGCCCAGCCACAGTGCACCCATCCCAGGGCTGCTGCCGGGACCCTGTCCAGCTGGCCGGACCCTGGCAGGGATGCCAATAATGGGCTCCTGGACACCACTACTGGGGCAGTCCTTGCCCTCCTGGGCCTCCAGCCCCTCTGCCTCTGGGCCTGCTGAGCCAGCCAGGACTGGTGGACATCATCCAGCAGACCTGGGACAATAAGAAGTGGCTGGAGGCGTTTCACCTGACCTGGGCCACTTTCAGGGACCTCCTGGAGCACCTTTGCCTGCACCTGGAGTGGCAGGACACCACCATGTGGCTGTCCATCCCTGCAGACTCCTGGCTCTAGCCCTCGCCCTGTTGAAGGTGGCCACACCTGCCAGCCTTCACTATGCGGGACATCTCTTTGGGGTAGGCAAGGCCACCTCCGGGGAGGCCATCCTGGAGGTGTGAGGGTCCCTTTAGGATGTGCTGGGACATGTGGTGCTCCGCATGCACAACCCCCTGGTGGTGGTGGCAAGGTTCTGTGCCCTGGGATTCCCTCAGTGCAGCGGCGCTCTGGATGAGACCCGTTTCCCTGTCACCTGTCTGCCCCATGGTGACCAACCCTACTAAAGCCAGAGGGGCTTTCACTCTGTGGTACTCCAGGCCATCATGGACCACCAATGCACCTTTATGCATATGAGTGCCGGCTAGGCAGGCAGTGCCCACGATACCCGCATCTTCTGAAACTCCGCCATGCCATGCCTTGTGGAGGCCAGGGGTGCCAGATCTGCAGCTGGTCACTGTGGTGGTCCCGCACCTCCTCATCAGGGACCCTGCCTACGTGCTCCTGCCCCGGCTCATGAGGTCCTACACTGGCCAGCTGGTCCCCCACCAGGCCCACTTTAACCACTGCCTGGACTGGACCCATGCCCTAATGGAGTGCACCGTCAGCCATCTGAATGGATGCTGGCGCACCATTGCAGCCCACCTTGTTTGCTGAAGACAACCTTGCCTGAATCATTGTTGCAGCCTGCATGCTGCATAACATTTGCAAGGCCCAGGGGAAGCTCTTTTGTGAGGCTTGGGTGGAGGCCATCTGGCAGCAGGAGCACCACCTGGAGTCCCAGGTACAAGAGGCCCCTCCACCACCCACCAGCAATAAAACACCCTTTTCCCTGTGCAGACTATTTACAAAATGCTTTGTTTGCTGTCCTGGGGTGGGGGGCATGGGTGGGAAGGATGCCTAAGGAACAGAGCCCAGGGAGAGGCAGTCTGCACCCTGGCCTCTGGCTGTTCCATCACAGGTACAGACACTGTGGCAAGCCCATCAGCTGGGCAGCTCGCCCAGGGGCAGCCACTGCCAAATGTGGCCTCCTTCTCACGTGCAGCTGCAAGATATGCAAAGCCATGAGAAAAAGCTGTTTGTGAGAGTTTGCAACATTTCTCAAATACAGTGCTTGTGCACTGCCCTGCTGCTTCCCCTACCTCCTACTCCTACAGGCCAGTAGCTATCCTATGCTGTCACCCAGCCCATAGCACCCAGGGTTGGGGCATGCGGGGGTCCCAGATGACTGGGATAAGGGGTTGCCCATGCCCCTGCCATCCCCACAGAGGGTCTTTCCAGGGGGCACCCCAGGGCCAGTCCCCTTATCCGCCCCCCCCACCCCCCTGCACTGCCACTGTGCCCCTAGCATGCCCCTGCTGTGTGTTGTGGGTGCTGCACGAGGAACTGTTTGCATGGACTGAGGGGTGCCCAACCCACTATGCCCTGCTGCTGCTGATCTTTATGGTGCCCTGGGTACACCTGCACATTTGACATGGGACCCTGAACTTTGACAGCACAGGGGGCAAGCCCAGGCTACCCCTCAATCTCCAGTGCTGCCTGGAAGGCCTACCTGCTGCTGTGCTACACATCTCTTTCTCTTGCAACTGAGGAAGACATCACCACTGGCATCAACATGCTCCTCAGCCTGAAAGGCCCGTGCCCGGCTAGCTGCGGGGAAACAGATTGCTCAGTAAAGTTTTACAAAGTCCCCTTCATCCCTGCAGGCTAGTGGTGCTGGGTGCAGGCAGGCTGGTGAGGCTAGCTTGCCCAGGGGGACAGGGCCTGGAGTTGCAAATTTGCTCCCGGGTTGTATTTACACATGTGTAACTGTGTAGTAACTAATCACAAGTAAATTTGCTACCTGCATTTATAGGTAGCATATTTACTTACGTTTAGCCATTTTAACTGTGTAGCAAGCATGCACACATGTACACACATTTCCTACAAACATTTTTTTATAACTAGAGAGTTCTCCACCTATGATTTCCTTAGGGAAATAGAAGGCCTTTCAAAAAACGAAACATTATGAAAGCTCACATAAGACTCTCCTTCAATTCTGCCCCCCGGTTCTGTGACCTTCAGTGTAAAATTAATAGCTGTTGGAGAAATTTGATGCAATATCAATAGCATCCTTCAAATGGTCAGAAAGATGCTGGTAGTTCAGGCTTATAACTGACTCTTTCTAAACCTCTGTCCAGCAGAGGAAGCTTTCTTGCAGGTGTCATGTTGTTCTGCTTTGCTCTGCCCTGGTCTTTCCTTTACCTCCTCTTGGAGCTATGAACCATCCTTGAGTTCTGGCATCCTGGTGCTGATATGTAGGAGCTCCTAAGATGAAGCAGAAAGTGATTGGCTCAGAGAAATATGAGCAACATTTGAAGTACTTGCAGTATGGTTGAGTGATATACCTCATGTCAGTTTCTTGATCTTTCTAAATTAGGAGTTAGCAACATATACAGCCTACTGGTCGAATCTGACCCATAAAGTGATCTGGTCTGGCCTACTAGTGGGAAGTTAGGATTGGCAGCCTGCCTGGCTTGGTGGGAGCATGGTGAAGTGGCAGGTGGTCAGGTGGTGCTGAGGCTCGCAGAAGTGGATGTGGGATTGAGCAGGTAATCAGGAGTGGAATTGTGGGGCTTAGGCAGCAGGAGGCAGAATAGGTTTTGAGAAGGTGACAGAGGCTTAGCAGGAGTGGTGTGGTAGCAGGTGGCATGCTAGGGAGGGCAAGTGGTGTGTGACTGCAAGGCATCTTGGATATCCATTCCCCCCCCCCCCATTTGGCAGGAAGGAAATTTTTGAGATTTTGTGTTGTAACTGTGGGAGTTGATTTGTAGTGATGTGGACACCAGGTAGACTTCAGATATGTGAAGTGACAAGGGGTGAAGTGCCTGGGTCCTCCGTCCAGAAGTTGGACACCAGGCCTGTGTGAAGCGGCAAGTATGTTTCGGATTCAGATTTGGCCAATGTTGGAGGGACAGTGATTTGATTTGGAGATTCAAATTGGTGTCCTGATTTGATTCGGCTAAATTGGATCCAAAGATTCAGCGCCGCTTTGGAGGTTCAGCCATAGGCTAAACAGGCAGCAGTCCTCACCACGCTGGACACAGCTGCCTCCAGCTGGTAAGTCTGTTCTGGTGGGTGGAAGGGGGAGGGGCAGCTCAATGCCCCCACAGCAAGGGAGGTATTGAAGCTGGGACAAGCTGCCCCAGAGGGGGGAGGGGGATGTGGCAGTTGTGGGAGTGGGAGCTATGCCCTGCTGCCACTTGCCAGGGCGGCGGGAAGGGGGTGGGGGGGCACGATGCAGGCGCAGCTTGCTCCAGGCAGGAGGCGGGAAGCGGCAGCAGGGCATAGCTCCCGCTCCCAGCACTGCCTCACCCACATCCTGTGCTTTGCCTCCCGGAACTGGTGAGGAGTGCTGCCTGTTTAGTCTATGGCCAAATCTCTGAAGCGGTGCTGAATCTTTTCTGAATCTATTCGGAGGCTTTTGATTCTTCTGTTCAGACTCTTTAATTGGTCTCCTGATTCAATTCAGATTTGGAGATTCAGCCGCTAAATTGGGCCAAATCTCCTCCAAATCAGATCGGCTACCGAAGCTGCGCACAGCTCTATCGGATGCCACTTCCCAGCTCTCGGGGAACCACAGTGTTCTTAAAACCTCCTCAGTGCACCAGGTCAATTAAGATAGGGATGGAGGAAGAAAAATTGCTGGACCCTCTCTGCATGAGGGTCACTCTGCTCCCTCTTGAGGCACGTGACTGCCCCCTCTCCTCCAGCCCACCTTAGGACCAAGCTGTGTTAATTTTACGTGCTGTTAGTGAAATGTTGCTAAACTCTATGTTCTAGACCACTTTTTTCCATACCCAGAAGAGAATTTTTTTGCTTGTTTGATTTTAAAATTTTCCAGAAATTCATCTGAGTTTACAGTCCTTTTCTTTTTGAATTCACCTAGAAATGAATATGGGTCTTCTTCAGCAGTCCCTCACAGTTGAGGATGATTGTCTTCCATGATTGTCTTATCTATGAGTCCAGAGATGGCTGATAAGGCCAATCTGGGATCAGCAGATTACTGCAACTTGGGCATGTGTTTCCATGTGGGGTGGGCGGCTCCAGATTCCTAATGAAGTCCATGACATGC